CCAAATTTTTACCAGCTTCCTTCCGACCCACATAAAAATTAGAACGGCTGGCTTCAAAAGGATAAGGAACATTTGGAAACTGCCAAGTGGTGCTGCACCAAATCCATTCGTGATTAGACTCCAAGCCATACATAGAACGCGTTGCAGTACCAAGTCCATGTCCCTTGAGTGGCCACCAAACAATGACATATAACATTCCGAGCATTTCAGATCGCTTGCTTCACCGTCCGCTTAAGATGTACTGGAATGCCACTTTCGGCGGCTAGGGGTCACTGAACACAGACAAACGCCACGCGTAACTTTTATTCACGGAGTTATCAAGACTGAGGTTAGTCTCCTCACGGAAGCTGTTTGGGCTGAGTCGCTGGATTCTTTCGAGCTAGGCCTCGCATTCTACTTAAGGTCACAGCTGAAGCTTACAGATAAAACTGCTAACAATCTGGTCTTTTTTGTTTCCTGTTCCCTTTTTCCTCTATGCTGGTTCACCGATTCTAGATATGGAGGTCGGTCAAGGGGAAGCTCTTCACATTCCGTCGGCAACTATTTAAAACGATTTGGATGTGTGAAGCAGACCTATACTCCACCTTCACCCATGAACGCGGTTCCAACATAGCCGCGCACAGCGCTGCATAAGGCCACTAATCTCTACAGGCCTGCTTAGGGAGGCTGTGAAAGTCACTCCGGTGGCCACTTCAATGCCGGCGTCTACACAAACTGCCATCACAGGTGAGGGTCCAGAACACAAGCGTCAGCCCCGCACCTCGACAGGTGTATCCGTGGATGTTTGGAGACGGCCAAACGACTACCGCGTGGGGCTGATTACGTCAGCCTCAAACCCTGAGGTTGCATCAACGGGTGCCCTTGCTGCACATCTGCGGATTTGAGTTACGGTGGAAAAAGGAGCCCCTTTCCCGTGAAACCCCGTCGATGACGCGTCAGACCGTATCATCCTCTTTAACGTGCCAGTATATAATTATGGTCCCATTGAGAAAAGGGAACTCTTTGGCAAACGGCGATGGGTAATTGCATGTTGCACACTAGGATAGGCAGCCCAGAGACAAGGCTATGTCGATTCTGCAAAAAAGCAACCTTCCACCTCAAGGAAATCCCTCATCAATGGGGATGGCCCTGAGCTCAGCTTAAGGGCTCGAAAGATCCTCCTTGCTGCGCATACACTGGTCACCAACCGGTCATCCAGCATTGGGGCTAGGCTGGATCGGGTGTGGCCGGTAAGGCAAATATCTGAAGAAGCGCCTCAAAGGATGAAATCGACGACTGTTGTTACTCATGGTTTAGCAGGGCTAACGGTGGGCGTATTAGTTGCGGTGTATGCTGGTGATGTTTAACGGTGGCAGCGGTTTGCAGACTCCTGCTTCCTCCACATCTGACAACAACGCCATCGCCCATATTGGTGGCTATTAACTTCGGTTGCCAAGGCCTTCCGGCCAGAGTACCATAAGCCCAGCACGCAGTTACGAACAACATCAGCCGGAACGTTCGCTGTTGAGAAAGCAGGCCAAGAACACCGAGGCAACAGCTAACGACAGTTCCGCTTAATGCTGAAGTCGCCAGTACTGTTAACAGATAGGGCGTTGAAGCTGGCTTTGACTCTACAACGTGCCCAAAAAACACTGTGGGGAAAAACGTGATTAGGCCGGTCCCACTGGAACTGGCCTCCCAGTAACAACGTTCACCACTGCATACCTCTCTCTATAGTTGACACCATCGAGAGGAGATCCCATGCTGCGAGAGGGGCCTCAAGGTTTCTTTCGAGTAAGGTGAGGGACTTAGAGGTGACATGATGGACCTATGATCTCTGAGCTCTCAACTTGCTCCGAAAATTAAGCACCTGACAGAACTTGGTTACCACCGGATATTAGCTACACAGAAGCTAGTATGGACGGTATGCATCTGTTCATGAGATATAGAGAACACAAGGAAGGATTCGGAGTGGCAACGTTTATAGGTGGCCACCTCGAGATTGAACCTGCCGCTGAAACTCTACTGTCGAGGCCCCCAGACGCCACCCAGTTCCACCCTTTGGTTGGAGGCACCTACTACCTCTTGGGGGTCTGTGGAACTTCTACTACTAACGTCCGCAGCGGTATCTATGGGACGTAACCGGGCGGTCATGGATGGGGTCTCCAGTATCCCAACTTTTAACCTTGGGGAGGACAGGCTAACATCAAGCCGGAGGTTTCACCTAAAGCTAGCCAACACCATCAAGGAGGCCAGAGCGCACAGGGGTACCGGAAGTGGCACTCGGTGGAGGCTGAACGGACAATCCTCCACACCTGTCTCCCTACTAGTGACCATCTACAAGCAGGAAACGTTCAGGTTCGGACCACCTTCGGCACCGGCAATCACGGCATGATAGAGTTCGATCTGGTATTCAATGAACGACTATCATGCTACGCCAAGACAATCTGTGTGGCGATGAAGTGACGCTTGTTGACGGCCCACGGCCCCAGGAGTGGAGCATTCTGCTGATTGGTCAACACTGGGAACTATTAAAGGATATCATAATGAGGGAGATTCCCGAAAACATCCTACTAGTCACAACAACCTCGAAGAAGGGAATCTTATGGCTGAAACAAGGTACTGCACACTTCTGAAGGCATGGCATAGCTGGAGGACCTCGAAAAAGTAGTCAGATCACAGCGCATATGTAGCCCTAAGTAATCAACGCAGCATCGAATTGAAGGGGGACAGATGGTCATTCCAGACAAACGTTGCTCAGAAGCTTGAGGCGAACCCCAAAAACCTAAATTGATTTGTGGCGAAGAAGAAACCCACCAGCCGGAAAGCTTGGTCCATTAGAAAGGCCCAGACGGAGAAAACTGCTCTAGAGTGGAGACCACCGAAATCTTTGGCGCGGCCCCTGAGATGCATGTAAACAAGCCGTCATTCAAACAACATTGCCAACTGCATGAGCAACCTTCAGCACTTCTTAGCGCAGCGGGGTTTCACCGAACAAAGACTACCTCTGCTTAGGTCCCCGAAAAACTGTCAAAACTCCACTCAGAGAAATTATTGGGATGCAACAACATTCGACAGTGCATGGATGCTCTATGCGGTCCACCCGTAATCTTTTTCGACATTCCTGAGGGAAACACACGAATCCACGACGGTGGAAACGTGCTACTCTTTCCCCTATCCTTATGGAAGGAGACGGGCAGATCCTGTAATGCCAGCGACCCACGGTATTTCTAATAGCGCTGTCACAAGTAGTGGAGAGACTGGTAAACAACCATGTTAGAGAGTGCCTGAACTAGAGGGGAGAACTAGGTGATGTTAAGCATGGCTTCCGAAAAGGTAGGCCCTACGCCTCAAACCTCCTGGCAGCCGATGATCAGTGTGCGCATGTTGGGTCCTCCAAGTCCCGCTTATGAGACTTTCCAGGATTCTGCCAACGCCTTTTGCGATTTCACATACCATTCTCAATCGCGGAACCTCGAGGTTGGGTATCGACGGTCACGTGTCTTGCTGGCTACAAGATCATTTAGACGGCAAAGATTTCCACACAATGTAAACAGGGTTCACTCAACTGGTGTATCACGAGGAGCGATTCTGGTTCCGCTGCTACCCTTCTTCATGTGGAAGGCCTCCAAAAGAGTCTCAACCCCCCGATTTTACTTCATTCTGTAGATGTGGGGAGATGGGATGTCCTATTAAGAATTAGATGCACAGCAAAGCGATCTCAAATTGCCGTTAGGATGCATGGATAATGACAAACTGACAGTTGGCCCCGATATATGCCAAACCAGGCTCCTCCACACCCCTACCCTTAAACAGCGTTCTGCTGTCTCTGTGTAAAGCAACATTCCCACACCACCACGGAGAAAGACCCAGGATTAATATTGACTGTCAAGTTAGACGCCAGCTCCAAGCATTCAGGAGGTGATTACGGGCCTACCCAGTATGGCACTTCATGCGCAGATAACTAGATGCCCTCATTCCGAAACTCTTCATGGAGCCGTACAAGACCCGTACGCGACCCCACCTAGAGGTCCGCGACGTCTTTGCACCACAATACTTGAAAACAGATTTGAAGCTCCAGAAGAAACTTGAGAGAGGAGCAGCAGATGGGGCTGTAGGAATGCGGTGAAACTGTATGGGGGCAGGCCGAAAGGCCTAGGACTTTACTCTCCTAGCTATCATAGGTTACGTGGCGGCTTGATAGCGGCTTACGAAGTGCCAAGTAATCCAAGTCTTCTGAACAATGGAATCCTTCCAAACAGCCACTCTGGGAGTCCTGCTGGGAACCCAAGGAGAGTCGCCTAACAAACGGCTAAAAGCCGTCTGCATTTACACTTTTTCTGTCTTCGAGTTAGCGGTCACATGAAAGCATTGCCTATCTAGATTGCTGCTGCTCCGTCTGTCAACAGCTTCGAGAAGAGGTTGGGCAGCTACACCGCGATGCACAGCTTGTGTCCATCTGGCTGACACCTGGACTCTCCACGACCCAGCATAGTCAACAATATGCCAGTTTTTTCGCACCTCCGATATCTCCACAGACTCCACTTAACCTTTTACTCCCACAGACGTTTCCTTCATTTACCATCCCCTATTACTAACGTCACAGTTTCTATTCCCTCAACTCCTTCTATAATCTTGCTCGCTACTTCTTTTCTCTCTAACTCCACGCTTTCAGGCTATTAGGGTGATCTCTTTCACTTATCTTCCATGAGTTTACCTGGGTTTTTCCTTCACTTCCATGCCACTTCCTTTCACACTTTTCTCTCACTTCCTCTTCTGTGACTTCTCTGGACACATTTAACATCATCTTTCTGCATTTATCCGAAAAACTGTAAGGTGGTACGATGCTCGAATCCTTGGATAAATCATACTATCCCCACAAATTTGATGGATACCCAACTGCTCGCTGGACTAACCGAAGATACCACAGGTGTATGGGTAGGCCTACTGTATCAGAATCCACCAAAGGTCTAGAACCATTCCGTTGGATCTGGAAATGAGCACGAAGAAATCAGTTGGTTGGATATTGAAGCTCTTCTGGGAAAATCAAGACATGTCTCAACTTAAGGTCAGACCTGGTTGAGTTAGTTATGGTCGTTCGTCCCATAGTTCGGATTCTTCACTATTGGTCCATAATAGTTTGAGACATAATTGCTCAAAGGTATCCGACAGGATCTATAGCCCTGTGCTCCTACCGTCTGCAGGAATAAAGGCTTTCAGGATCACTCCACTGAAAACTCCGAATTCTTCACTTATTAAGCCATCCTAACAAAACAATGAGTGTCTATGGCTTGTACGTAATAAGTGAGTCTGGCTCACTTCAGTTCTACTATGACCACTCTGACGTTGTAATGGAAGTAGAAAAGAAATACGAATTCCCACTACCCTTTCATTTTAAGGCTGTTGATGGTCGTCTCATTGTGAATTTCGGAGCCTGTGATGAGGTCAAGATTGGATACACCGTTATATCAGTCGATGGCATACCAGCTAAAGGCACATTACTTGAAGACAACAGAGATATATTGAAAGTAAGTTATTTAAGACGTGTTTTACACAGTTTGATATAAACGATTTACTGATATGATACTTGATAGCTCTTATGCTAGTTATGCATTTAGGGTACTAAAGCTCCTGAATTCTAGTCAAATGATCGTGTTTCGTGGCACTTGGCTAACGTCCCCATGGATAACGTTCTCCGGAGTGATACAGAATTTTGCAATATTTCACTTTGCAGAATTTACGCTTTAAATTTAAGTTTTATGACTCCGTGACAACTAAGCAGGAAAACGTGGCTGTAATGAAACTGTTTTATCTCTTTACCCTGTCTGGGCATGTTACGTGTATTTGGTCACCGTCCACTTCGATGTAGAATGTTAACCGAAGTAGGGTTAAGCTCGAAGGTTAGGGACAGCCACGAGTTCCCCAAATGTTTGTCTTTAGTGTAGAGGAATTTTTAACTTCCTGGTTCCGTGACAACCGCAATCGATGTTTGGAGGCTAAGTGGTATGATTCAGAACCAGTCTCGGTGGCACAGATTCATTCATATGTTGTCTTCGTCCTAATCGTCGTACCACACTTTGTTATACCTATTTAGTCTCGACTTTTGTTCTTACGTCTTCTCATTACATTGTCTTTCCTTATATCATTCATCCTGTTGCCGTGTATTCTGATGTGGTGTGACAAGTGGGACCGTTAACCTATACAGCTGGATCATATGTTCCTGTTGACTCTTCTGCCTGACATTCATCATCATTACGGCAAGCTTCAATTTTTCTAAGCAAAAGAAAGCTACAGTTTGTTGCAGTCAAAGAACCATTCACTATTTCCATTTTAATTTTAACTAACAGGAGAAATCAAAAAAGCTGCAGCATGATCGCTACTAGTTTTGACTCTGAGTTATATTTGCTATCGTCTTGAGACATTGACTCGCGTAGTCTCTTTGCCATAATGAGCTGAATAACGGATCTAGAAGTTGCCTGGATTAAGCCTACAATCCTTGCAGTATCATGTCTGATATCTACCAACTTTATTAAATACGTACACTTTTTTCGGTACACGTACAATGAAGTATGTTATCGTTATAGTTTTCAGAAAGGTTGACAAAATCTTCACAAGAAGCCATGTATGCCTAAAGCCTTCCTCAACCGTTCGCTTTGCTCTGAAGTTTCGGAAAAAACGTGATTTAACGTGTAAGTACCAGGTTGGTTGAATAGACGAAAAATCAATGGAATTTAAATCTGGTATGGCTTGAAAATAGCCTAGCACACTGTCAATATATGTAAACCATTGTTTTTCCATGTATTGGTTGACGTTGTAAGTACACCTGTTATAGTACCGCCTTTTCCGCTACGGTAAAACCGACCATCAAGGGTAGAATCTGAAGGTTATTGTCCGAGTCCATATACATAGTAGTCCCTACAAGAATAAAAGAAGTGGCGAGTGGAATATGTAAAAATCATTGTAGGCTTGTTTTCATAATTGAAGTAGCAGATGGTATTTCAGACCTAGACTCATCATAATATTGAAACGCTGTTGGCCAATATATCACATTACTTTGTCAACTGTCGCCTGTCTTTATGGAGTTTGTCCATAAATGCAGAATTTTTGAATTAAGTACCTGTGTGATCGAATACAGTAAGTATTGTAAGATGGTTCCACGTTTCCGCTGAACTTTGGTGTGATAAATTCACCCCTTAGTCCACTATATTCGTGAGAGTGATTAGTTGGGTATCACTTCAATTTAAGAGGAACTACTTACTGTTTGATAGGAAAGCGGGGCCTTATGATCAGTTGTTCTCCTTTGTTTCAACGTCTTCAGATAATAAAAGCTGCTGAAGATGAAACTAATGGGCACTACCCATCAATCTTATAGTCAGGCCCGAGATAAAAAAGCATTCTAACTTCCTAATATTCCAAAGGCTTTAAAGAATTTCGAAATGGTTCTGATGTACTGTTGTCAGTAAGGAAAAATCCACTTCACTAAGACCTTTGTGGTCCGAGTTAGCGAATCTGTATTGACCACCTTAAATTCATGAAGCTAACAGTCTTTCCCTTCCCATACTGTTGATGTGTCATTCATCACACAAACTGACCAAATAGTCGGCAAAACTTTTAATTCCTATTTGAATGATGTATGTTTCCTTTGAAAGGTATATTTAAGCTTATCGATTATCGTAGCGATAATGATACCAAAAACAAGACTTAGTATTCCTTTGGTATCAATTTCTTATTTAATAACGTGTCCTTAGCTAAGACCATTGACATTCTTTGTGGCCGTATATCCTCTAGTATTTTCTCTTTCTCTATTTCTGCAAAATGTCTGGAGGAGCTGCTATGATTGTATGCTAGTAAGGTTCATTTTGCTTTTGAAGAGGAACATTCCTGACAAGTCGATGGCGTAGAAATAGGAAGTCCCTTAGGACCTTTCTATCTGATATTTACATGCCTTATTCAAAGTTTGACCGATAACCTTATCAGTAAAGTTGCTTCCGAAAATACCCGTTGACAATGTAATTATGAAGTGACAACCGCGAGTATGCCAGCTGTGTACCAGAAAGACTAAACATGCAAGAAACTACCCGTTAAACATATGAGGAAGAAAAATAAAACAGCCTGCCGTTCTTGGATATGCTCCTTAGTTGAAGACTGTCCAATAAAACGGTTGGTTTACAGGAGACCAACTTAGATAGGGCAGTAATTAAGTTTATATAGCTTTTGCTCAACGCAGTGTAAGACTGGTTTAATGAACTGTCTTTTCAAAAGAGCGTTTGTTGGTGTTGTTATATTTGTCCTTCATTTCCATTTTTCACATAAAATGCCTTGACAAGAAAATGTATGATCAAACTTTGAAAAGTATAGCACCAGTGCGTCTCGTACCCCAAATAAACAGTCTTCTAACAAGCTTATCTCACTTCAAAGTTGATAACTTATGGTTCTAAGCGTTAGTTATGGTCTCGACTTTCGAGAAAGGTTTGTTAGTCTGTTCTTAGGCAAATAAGTTACAGTTATTGATTAAATTGCTATGCCGGATAAGGGTTCCTAGGGCTGTTACACTGCTTGCCAGTTGTTGTGTAATAGCAGTAGTGTGCTTCTCTTGGATGAGCAGAAGTAACATGGCGATGCTTTATTCCTTATGGAGAGAGGGCTTAGAAAATGCTGTCCCAAAAATGGCACACTCCACTCTACTTTGTGATATTCCGGTGCAGGTAGTATGGGTTCTTCCTTTGCTTTCACAGTAGAATCTCAAACCAACAATCCCGAAAAAACCATGTGACAGGTCCCAAGTAGGTATCCATTCGACTCTGCGGGGATCTTGCAAAGGCAGCTTCCACGGCGTGGGCAGCCAGGAAGTACCAACCACTCACCCTCTTGTTCTCAGTAGTATGCAAAACAACCTACCATTCTTACCTTTGTCTCCTTTCTCGCCTTCATTTCCTGATACCAATGTTAAGCCTCTTGTAACTTCATCGACCTCACTGTGCGACCAATATCAATGACCCGAGACAGCGAAACATCATTCCTAGTCTCCTAAAACCACACTGTCGATTTCACATTGAGGCTTTCAACGTCCGAACCATGCGCCAGGTCGGACAGCAGGCATGTTACCAAAACACTGGAATCTCGTAACATGAATGTATGCTGTGTTTGTGTTACACGTATACGAGACCCGAGCATGGTTGTTCACTTGACCTCACCTAGCCGAAATGTGGAATCTGCGAAATTCACTTTACATGTGTTCACAGATTCAATGGTTAAGCATTTTGGACCTATTCGGTCGATCTTTCAGAACTTTTCGGTGCGTTTCGTAGTCGCCACCTACGGGCTGACCGACTGAAAAAAGGGATGAATAAAAAATTCTGGTTTTGCTTTATAAAGCAAAACGTTCAGATATAGTCATACTAGCAGGCAACTTCAACGTTCAAGTAGGAGAACTGAACCGATCGAAAAGGCCTCTTAAAGATATCTACGAAATTCATGCCAACAAACTGATAAATCTGAACATCCCCTGCAATTTTGTCCTGACAGCTATTTGTCTCTAGCCAACATTAACTACTAGCATAAGGAGAGACGATGTCTCACATGACATCCCCCAACATCTAGCGAACGATGAACACAAATATACCATATTGTTACCAGTTACCGCTAATAAAAACTGTCTACTGAAACTCACGCAGCCGTGTAAGGTCTACCGGAGAGTTGCCATCAAAATTACCGACAACTACTTGTGTCTGCCAGGGGTGTCCACTGTCACCGTTCGTGTTTTATTTCGTTTTAGATGCATTAATCGACATAACACTAGGTACGTCTGACTTCACAGGGATTAATCTACTCCCTGGAGGTCGTCTGGTTGACTTAGACTATGCAGACAACATTGTCTTGCTAGGTGAAGACGCTGACAAAATTCCGTTGTTTTCTGAACGCGTTGAGCAGAAATCTGAGTATATTTGGCATACGTTTCGCACCTGTCACATGTAAGATAATGCTCCAGGACTGGTCTGCTGCAACCACTCTAAGTGTAATGATAGAGAGTGAAGTGGTGGAATGTGTCTACCGCTTCACTTACTTGGAGAGTTGCATCAGCCCAAATGGAGTGGTTGTTGACAGGATCTCATCTCGGATACAGAAGGCCTGATTGGCATTTGTCAACTTGTGTCACCTGTGGCTCCGACTGGCGAGATATCCGACTATCTATCAAACGACGAGTATATTGCACTGTAGTCTGTTCTGTCCTGATATACGGCTGTGAGACATGGTCGTTAAAAGTCGAAGACATAAAGCGACTACAGGGCATTGGTTTCAGGTGTCTTCATAGCATTGTTCGTGTTTGGTGGTATCACCATGTGAGGAATATTGAGGTTAGGTGAAGGCTACTGGGAAAGACAGGCAAGTCGGATGATGAGGTCATGAACCTTTATGGACTGAGATGGCTTGGAAATGTGTTGCGCATGCTGAGTCATCGCCAACCTCGAGGTGCCATCCCACGGGATTAGGTTGGAAGAGGGTTCAGGATGGTCAGATCAAGACCTGA